ACTGCAACCGTCCGTCAGGTGAAAGATTTCCTTTCTACCAACTGACAAAGATGATATGTATAGTATCAAACTTCAGGTTTCGAAAACTTTCCACGGTGATCCGCCGCAATAGTCTTGGGCATTGGCCTCTTTAAAATTTAAGAGTTTTAGACCTTAGCCACTTTGCCTATAACTTTGAACACTTTGACGTAAGAAAAAAATATACACACTATCCAAGTCCTTCCTTCAGCGCGGTATCATGTGTACATTTAATGATATAGCCAGCCATTACATGAATTTAAAACAGCAAAATGCTTTTCTGGGCCTTGAAAGACATTCCTTCTTTACTTTCTATCTGTTTCAATCAATTTTACACATGTCTAAAACATTTTACAATTTTTTCCTGTTACTAAGTTTCTTGTTACTTTGTTTCTCTGTTTAGTAACACCCCGTGAATGGCCAAAGCTCACAATGACAGTTTCATTTACCATGTNCTAGGTAATGAACTCTCTCGGAATCTTGTTTTCGAGATAACGCCATCCAATTAAGCAAGTGGCCAACGACAGCGTCAAGAAGTGTATTTCCTTGAACCATTAACCAACAAACTCATAATTGATAAGCCACTTACACTACAGAATAAGAAGTAATAAAGAAAAAGGCAAAACGAAGACTGCAAAAGAGATTGCATATGTCGACAGCAATGTTTTGTTATGACCTTGTGCTTGCCAATGGCATAAAAAGAAAGACTACTATAGTAATAAAATTGCTAGTAATCCCCTTCTGAATCTCTTCAACCCACTTCTGGCTTTGAAGAAGGGCTAAAGCTCACAATAATGGAAGTTTCATTTACCATGTTACCATATTAACAGAGTGTATATCTCCTTTTCTTTCTAGTACTGCTTGAGGTGCAACACAGGTGTATGAATGGTCTGCGATTCCATGCTTATCTCACTTGCAAATAAAGTCGACCTATAGGTTAAAAACTTACTTCATTGTTAGGGGTGTAATACAGGTGTATACATGGTCTGTGATTCCATGCTTATCTCATTAGTTAGGTATCACTTGCAAAGAAAATTGACCTCTAAGTAACAAACATACCGTTCGCTTCTGTCCATCTTTCGTCCAAGGGAATCAATTCTTTTCTGCCTTCCATCACATCAAGAAGAGCTTCTGATTTCCCTAACGAACAGAATCGTAATTGATACGCCATTTAAATCACAGAAGAGTCTTGGAC